AAATAAGAAGGCTGTGTGATCCGAACAACCATAATCGATATATTCAGATATTTCTGAGTAATTCGATAAATCACTAATATGTCTATATCCATTGCGGATTAATTTACGGAATGTCAGTCCATTCAGATTTATTATCCGGTCAGTTAATAAGTTGAGCACTTTTTCTGGGGGTTCCAATTCTTGATCGTTCATTTTGTTTATAGTATAGTATATATCATAAAAAATACGTAGTTTGTAATATTTTTATTGAAAAATTTTATATTAGCTAGTTTGTAGAAGCAAAAAATCCCCCTATATCAAAGCTCCTACCTGCAAAATTTACCTATTCGCTCCTTATCGATTAAGCAATTACCATAACATACCATTTTCCTGGAGTATGTTAACCATTTTTTTCCATTCCTCATCAGTATCCAGCCATGATGAAGTGATTCCATCTTTCTCGAGAGAACAGCGGATTATTTCTTCACTTATTAATCTTTCTCGCACTGTCATATCCATATATTCACTGGAGTCTTCTTCGGCCTCCTTTGCAAAACCACACATTCTCGCATCAGTCTGCATTCTATCGCGGAATGCTATGGAATCGAGCTTATCTTTTTCAGTAATAGTAACGAATTTGTCGGGATCTTCACCAAGCTCAATAGCTTTTTGACGGAGACAGGCTTCTCGTTGCTCCCGGGTCAAATAATCAGATGGATATGTTTCCAATTGGGTGTTGACTTCTTCATTGCTAGATTTTAGTTCGTCATTTGCAGGTAAGTCGGGAGATATCTCGGGCTCATTATTTACAAATCCAACTTCATCACTCACTAATTCGATAATTTCCAGAGATTTGGATTTATTGTCTACAACTTCTATGTCCACGATCTCGGGAGATAGAGATATATCAGTAAACTTTGATGACGAAGCAACTGAAGATTCCGGTTGATCTATTATAGAATCGAAGAGAGCCCGGGTCGTGTTAGTAATGGGTGGGATGGGTGATGAATCCTTACCTTTTCCATTGCGATTTGTAGGTAATGGGATAGGTTCTTTTTTTTCTGGTTCGGAGGTTTCGATTTCTGGGACATCGAATACAAGGATATCTGTGGATTCGTTGGTGAGTGTCTCAGGTTAAGGTACGTCAGAAAATTCCTCAATATCACCTATTGACTCACGAAATTTAGCTACGATCTTGGATCGGTCAAGGATATAGATCCATTCTCTTTTTCCATTGATTCGTATCTGCTTTTTCTCAATTCCTATCGGTGGGAGAAAACCTCCAAATTTATTGTTATTAATTCGATCCTCGCCTTCGTTTCCACACCAAGTAAGATAATCTTGATATAAATTTCCAGAGATCAGTTTTTCGATTTGATTTTTGGACCATGATTTAATATGTTGTATTATAAAGCGGGCGGGATTTGGAAGTTGTTTCATTATTGTATCTGTTTTCATTTTAGTGATAGGGAAATTCTGCGAACTCCACTTTGACAGATCACGGCTAAGAAGATATGACATGACTACTCATGGTGCATTGGGATGATCAAGAATTTCTCCTAGTCTATCGAAATATGCAATATTACCCCTACAACGTGCAGATACGTCAAAACAAACTATATGAGCATCACCTGCCTCTATTTTTAGCGGAGCATCCTGATTACTTGTGACCATAAATCCACTAAAATCATTTATTCTTAAAGTTTCGAGACCTTTGCGCTTTATACTTACCTTTCCCTCTGTTATAAGAGATTTAAGATGACCATTAAATCTATGCCATTCCCCACTAGACATACTGGTTTCATTCATGACTATAAGCTTTTTACCTTGAATAACACTGTTAAATTTTCCAAGAATTTTTCCCAAATCAGATGTTGCGTAATAGAAATTTGGCCCTAATACCTTATCACCAATAAAATCAGTAATAATATTTTTTTCACACTGTTGTAAAGTGGATTTTAATACAAGAATTGATCTTGATTTCTTTCCCGGTTTTTGTATTAAATATGCTCACCAGTTCCAGATATAATTATTGAGTTCCTCATTTCCATTACAGATTACATTTTTTACATGCCAAAGGATAGGATCCATAATTTCTGGATTAATATCTTTTACTGGTTTAGCTAGAAATCCCAGGAAAAGATTAAAGAAATTTGTTTTTGGTG